TTCTTGTTTTTCCAGTCCGCTAATGCCTCGTTTGTTTTCTCCGCATTGTTCTGCATTGTTGGTTTTGTTTGTTTTTTTTTTTAAAGCCTCCTGTTTTTTGCTTTTAGTAGCCTCTAATTCGTCAAGTTTGTCTTTTATCCATTGAATATACTCAATCATTCTTCTTTTAAATTCTGTGTCAGAAAGTTCCATCAAACTTTCTAGCTTCAGGAAATTCACTGATACTGTGTCACTATTTGGGGGTGACATCTTTCTTTGCTCTTGTGTCTTGTGTGGGATAAATTGCTTTCTTTGAGACATTGATATGTTCTTGATCTGAAGACAATGCTCTAGAGATCAGTTGGGTAGCTACCCCACTTGTCTGTTTCTCTGAACTTCTGACTTCAGAGAAATGTCAGTTCAGAGCCTGTGAGAGCAACCTCTTTTTGGTAAGACCGGTCAAGGTGCTCCCAGTTAAAGACAAGTTGATTGACATGTAGGCACTGATGTGGATCCAAATGGTGTGAGGCAGGTACAGGGTTGGGGTGACTGCAAGGGCAGATCAAACCCTTGGGGAACCTCATTTGGACCTCAGCTCTCAGGGTGTGCTCACAATTGGGGTCCCTACTCAAATTCCCACTGTCTGTTTCCCACTCAGTGGTTTTCACTCAGTAGGCCCTGCCCAGTGGCACTTATGCAGGTGCCCTCACATAGCAGCCTCTGTCCAAGCAAGGTTCTCGGTCCAATGGTACCTGAAAAGTCAAAGTCAAATTCCCAGTGACCCACTAGACTCTGACTGGTCTTCAGAGTCCACAAAAGTTCAGACAGATTACCACTGGCTGGCTCGTTCCTGGGCAGTCAGCATGCCCAAGAGAGCTTGGCCAAATTTCCACCTGTGGGCACGACCTCAGGTACTCTCCCAGGTAATTGGAAGTGCCCTAGAAAACCCAGTCAGGATCCTACAGACCTTTCTCCTGCCAGATTAGTCCACAACAGCTCAGCTGGTGGCTCCGAGTGATGGCTGGATCCACGGCATGGCTTTGTGGTCCTGTAGCTCCAAAAGCAACTGCTGCAACAAAAATTCTGATTTTAAATCCTACCGCCCACGGCTCATTGAGTTGGTTGGTCTCTGTGTGGTGTGAAGGACTTTTTAGTGGCTCTTGGGTGCCACTGGGGTTGCAGGACTGTGGCGGAGGGATGTGGTTGCAGAGCTGCGGGGGC